TTCAAACAGGAAAGTGATTCCACAAAGCGCATGCATTCTGGCGGCGGAGAGGCTGCCAAGAACTTGTTATAGTGGAAAACAGGAAACGCAGTCGCGTGTGGGAGGACGGAAACCAAAATACTTTCCACAAATGAATTTCGCAATTCTGCGAGGAATGCCGAAAGTGCTCTCTCTCACCATCCTGACGGCCTTTTTTCCCTTTCGTGACATTTTGGGGAGAGAGCAAGCCCCGTGATGCAACTCCTATCCCCAACTACGGTAGTAGGGACAACAAGGATGTTTTGTTGCTTGCCACGAGTTTGCAACAAATTTGCAGCAGCATACTAGCATACATTAACAACCAGACCGGGCAGAGGACCGCAATTCTGGTCGCGAAAGTAGACGAGAGAGAGAGAGAGGGGGGGGGAAGAAAAAAAACAGTCTATCCAAACAGAGGACCGCATCCTACGCCCCGCGCTATAGTCACTTTCCCTTTCAGGAAATAAAGATATAAATGTTTCCCAGTGCAGTGGGCACTTCCCTCTTTTGCAAAGAGGCCACCAGCCAACGACTGCCGGCCTCTCTGACTTTCCTACTTAGAACCAATTAGCACAAGGACACGGATGCCCAAGTGCCGGTCTATCACCCACCCATGCATCTTCAGCCTACAAGACGGAGCTGAGCGATATGTACAAAAACTGCCCAGAACACTAACTAACCTCCAGTAAGTTGCCTGCAACTGCCACTGACTCGAGCTCCACCCGTCTGTTAACGCTCACCATAGCCTCCCTTCTCTTCTCTCTCCACCCATCTCCACTTGGATGGACATGTTGTTGAAGTCCAACCTAATCATAAGCAGAGGAAGAGTCGCTTGCTCCTGAACGCCCCGAGGAAGACGTTATACGTCTACCTCCTTCGATGACGTGAGTCCCTCCATCTTCACAAAGTCCACCGCTTGCCAACGCAAAGCCTCCACCACTTGCCAACGCAAAGCCCTGTGCACGCATACTCTACTCACCCTACGACAGAAGAATAAATCAGCCATGGGCAGTCGAAAAAGACATGATTACAAGAGAACAACATTCAACGTATCTAACCCTTTTATCGACAAAGTGGAACTACTAAGCAGGAGCAGGGACGCAAACTGTCTTGCATCTCCAGGCTACCTGGCGTCCCCGGGTGTCATTTCACAGTTTCAGCCATTTTTGAAACCCAGAACAAAGCGCAATGTTCTTATACAAATTGTTTTACAGTTAAAAACTTCCCCCCCCTACCGCAACCCTAACCTATCTTGTCCTTCCATCTCCCAACCCCTATCCTACATCTCCCTCCATCCCATTCTAACCTATCCATTCTCCCTACCC